CAACTACAAGCCAAATAGTAAAATTCAAGGAAATAAGTCCTTTTGCTTTGTCTGTGGGAGAAACAATCATTTTGTTAAGGATTGTTTTCATCGTCGTTGTCAACCAAAAGACACTACATCTGATCCCAAATCATCTTCTTAACCTCAGGGTAATGTTATTACTACTCATGCTAGCTCATATTCCCCATCTAACAAGTATCATGTCACTAGCCTAGAGTTAAATTTTATTTATAACTCAAATGATTGGTGGATTGACTTTGGAGCTAATGTTCATGTGTGTGCTAATAAAAAATTATTTTCTTCATATCAGGAACGTGACACACATACTGTGAGCATGGAGAATGAGAGCCTAGCTCACATTATTGGTCTAGGTTGAGTAGAATTATAATTATCTTCAGGAAATTGTCTTGTCTTAGATGAAGCCTTTCATGTTTCCAAAATTAGAAAAAAAATTGATGAGTGTTGCTTTGTTAGTTCAACAAGGTTTTAAAGTTGTTTTTGAATCCCATAGAGTTGTAATTTCTTAACATGATTCTTTTGTTGGGAAAGGGTATATTTGTGATGATTTGTTTAAACTTAATCTCATGTCGTCTTTTATTAATAAACATTCTACCATTTCTTCATCATTTATTTCAAATGTTGAATGTTGTGACACTCAACATGGTAGACTTGGACATGTTAACTTGAATTCTATTAAAAGAATGATGACTCTTAATCTTATTCCTAAATCTTTTAATGAATTGAAACAAAAATGTGAAGTTTGTGTTCAAGCTCAACAACCTAGAAAATCTTTTCAAAAAAATTTTCAAAAATTTTTTCAAAAGAAAACTTGCTCGCTTGAACTCATTCATAGTGATATATATGATAACAATGGTATTATTACTCGTCGTGAAAAGAAACACTTTATTACCTTCATTGATGACTTCTCAAATATTGCTATGTATACTTGATAATTCATAAAAGTGAGTTATTTGATAAATTCAAAGTTTATAAAACTAGAAGTTGAAAATTAATTAGAAAGGAAAATTAAAATTCTTCATTCTGATAAAAGAATAGAATATACTTCTCATGAAATGGGGGAATTTTTTGAATTACATGATATATTATTCATGAATTCACTCCATCCTATGCCCCCCAATCTAATGGAATTATTGAAAGAGAAAAAAAATGTACTCTGTTAGACATGATAAATGTTATGCTTATAAGTTTTGGTTCGCCTAATAATTTGTGGGGGGAAACGTTGTTTACTGTATATCATATTTTGAATAGAAGTCCTTATAAAAATTCATATAAAACTCCTTATGAATTTTGTAAAAATAGAAAACCAAATTTGAAATATCTTAAAGAGTGGGAGTGTCTTGCAATGATGAATATTCCTACTAATAAGAAAAGAAAAATTGGTCCCAAGATTGTTGATTTTTTTATTATATTCTTTCCATAATACTACTTATAGATTTTTAGTTATTAATTCTAAAGTTGTTGAAATTTCTAATAATATAATTATAGAATCTAAAGATGTTGTTTGCTTTGAAAATATATTTCCTTTGAAGAATAAATTGTCTAAACCTGTTTTATGATACTTTTAGCTCTGTTTTACTGTCTAGTAATGTTAAGGTTATTGAACCTCGAATAAGTAAAAGAATTAGAAAAACTAAAGATTTTAGTTCTGAATTTTATTCTTTCTTACTTGAAAATGATCATAAAACTTATAGTGAAGTCATGAGATCTGTTGATGCATTTTTTTTGTTGAAAGAAATCAGTAATGATGAAATAGATTCTCTTAAAGTCAATAAAACTTGGTTTTTGACTAACCTTCTTCCTAGCCACAAAAGTATACATTGTAAATGGATTTTTTTGGAAAAAATTAAGAACGGAAGGTTCTATAGATAAGTTTAAGACAAGACTTGTTATTGGTTACAAACAAGTAGAACGTGTAGATTTCTTTGATACTGTTTACAGTGGAATTAGTTTCACGGATTCTTTTTATTCGAACTAGCACGACAAGCGTTTCAATTTAGGTATTATGCTTTGAATTTTACGGAACGATGCTTTGAATTTTACGGAACGAGAAAAGATGGAGTAGAAAGATTAATAGTTACTTGTTTCTAAGTATTCATCAATAATTAACAAGTAATAATTTTCATGCACATAAATACTCAGATGAACAGAATGAACAATGGATATATTTGCAATACAGATCATGGTTCACTTTGCATAATATTCATGCATTACAATACTAACAATCTAAAACTACGTGATTAAAGGAAACAAAGAAGACTACACTAATCCTAATCCTAAAAGCAGAAAAGAAAAGTGGTCGAGAAGTGGTCATACCCAAAAACAATTCCTTGGACGGAAGCCATATGCGCAGGCGGTGAGTGCTCGAGAGTTTAGTTCAAGTATGAGTTTTTCGACCACCGTAAATTACCATGCCTTGCACATTTATAGAGCTAATCAAGGGCAGTTAATTATGTACGTGTGAGTTATTGGAAAATAACCGTTATCCACTACGTTCTCATTACCTGGTCTGACATATAACTTCTCATAACCGTTCATCCCACGTGTTTTTTATCTTTTCGATTCACTTTCCAATAAGTAATAGGTGCTCTGGTTTGACTCCTCAACCCTTTTAGGAAACCTCTAGTAACCTCCTTTATCTATTTTCCGAGCATTTCTCTATTTGATTCAACCAATTCTATTCGACCACATTTCGAGCGCGAACAATTAAGGCTCCTAATACGATCCTCGTAGGTGTTGACCTTTATCTTCGTTTCGAGTAGATTTCACAAATACCCTTTCGAGTCATATCGTTTTCGAGTAACCTTAACAAATTCCCCCCTAGGAATTCAATCTTGATGAACATCCTGCTAAGAGAGTTTGAATTCCTATCAATAATTATCTTCGACCCTTCATCGGTTTTCTTAACTAGTGCTCAGTAACTTATATTCCTTCGATGAAAACCTACTTCTGGCTACTTACTTAATGCAATGACCGTTTGATGTGACATTGATTACCCTGACGGCGCGTGCTTACATTCCTCCATAAATTTGTCTTATGATACGAAACATTTTGGCGGCTGTTATGAATATTCAATTTAAATTTTGAATTACTCTGCCGAGCCCATTTCACCTTAGGCCCATTAATACGTTCAAGCCCTCTTTTTTACCCTAGAGTTAAATCACTTTTACCATTCTGTTCCTTTCTTCCTTCGCGCCCAAGCTTTCTTGCTTTGCTCTCTGCTTCTTGGTTTTCTTCTCCGGCGATCTTGCACACTTTTCCTCTTCACCATCTTTCTTTCTCTTCATCACTACCATCACCATCATGGCCTCCTTTGCTACGTCCACTTCAGCCGCCGTAGGCTCCACAGTTTCTCCTACTACTGCCTCTGCATCATCTCCGATCCTAGCCACTGCAACGTCTCCTACCATGGCCATTGTAACGACCATGGCCACTGCAACCTCTACTTAGATAGGTCCTTTATTGATGGCTAATGCCCAAGTTTGCAAGGTCAAAGACAGGGACGATACCTTCGTCCCTATTCCAGGCATGGAGGAAGCTAGTCTGAAGATCTTTCAATCTCAGGTACTTCTCCCTTTCTCTCTAGAAAGTGGTTCTGTTCATGCTTTCTTAGGTCCTTTTGCTGGTCAGAATAAGAAAAGATTTGGTAACACTTTGTTACCTGAGGATTCTTCTACCCTCCCCTTCATACACTCTACAGAAATAGACTTAGCCCTTTTTGGAGATACCACTAAGATTTTTAGGGCATTCCCTCCTATCAAAGAGAGACATTTACCTTGGCTGACACGAGTAGAAAATTTGATGCATTCTGAGTGGGTGGAGACTGGTATTTATGAGTTTATTGAATTAGCTAAGTTCAACCTCCATCTTTTCGACCCTCAAATGATGTTTTCTGCTATATTTTTCTGGAACAGAGAGACTCGAGCTTTCGAGTTTCCCTGTGGTTTCGTCTGTCCTACCTTGCTTGATATCGCTGCTATTACTGGTTTAGTACCTGTTGGGGAAAGATTTTACCCAGACCTGTTCGAAGAAGAGATTTCGATCAAGGAAACTTCGATTGGGATAAGAAGACCTACTTAGCTTTTATCAATGCTCATATGGGGGAACATGGTACTCTTGTCTCGACTTCAGAGCATATTGCTTTCCTAATGTATTGGCTTTCTGCTTGCGTTTTCTGTACCCCCTCACTCTAGGTTCCTAAGTATTATTACAACCTAGCTCAAGCCCTTCATCTGAAGAAGAACATTTGTTTAAGTAAACTCTATTTGGCCTCCCTCTATATTTGTCTCGACGAAGCCTCAGAAAGCCTTTTTCGCGAGTCAGGTCCTCTAAATCTCTTCGGGCCGCTATGGTTACTGCAATTGTGGCTCAACGCGATCCTGGAGAAAAAGCTTTGTCTAAATTTAACCTTCACTCCAGTATGTGAACTCGAGGGAGATCGTTTGACAACCCTCACTCCTCGAAAGCGTTCAATAAATAACTTATATATTGATGTTATTCTCAGTTTTACCGAGTTCACTGAAGATTTATCCCCTTTCATTCGAACAACTTTGATGGGTCCGTCCTGGCTTCGACAAAATAATCAAGTTGGAAACATAAGCCCGGATTCGACTGAAATGTGGTTTGGGTTTCTATCTTGGGATGTCATAATTTCGGGAATGAGGCAAAAAGATGTTAAGATTTACCCTTATCAACCTCAACTTTTTTCTAGGCAATTTGGTTTATGTCAGATGAAACCCCTTCCCCTTCGACGTAAAGAGAGTATCGATGCTGACATTTGTGTCGAAGAGGGAAACTATCAGGAAGTCCTAGATTTCATTCTCTGCCCTGACAAGGAACTTAAGATTACACCATCTACTTTCTCTCCCTCCTTCTTAGTTTCAAGATGTTATCTTCGATGGTGGTGTGAATATTATGTAGATAAACTTGTCGACTTTGATGGTTTTTTGAAGAAGCTGATTAATTCTCCTCTTTCTTCGCAGGAACCGAAACAATCAGGTACTTTCAAGAACCAAACTATTATCTATCAATTCGAGCAATTTTTTAAAGTTTGTTATCGGCCTGACAACATTGGTTGAACCATCTTTGATGCATCTGTCTCTTTATCGAAAATGGTACAAAGGAACATCCGCTCGAAAAAGGTGATTAATCCTCGAGGAAAAAATGATTTCGAAAACTTTTGTCCTAAACATATACCCCCTCTTCCAAATGCTCTTTTTGGTCTAGTGAAACATTTATCTCGCCCACCTTGGGTAAAAACTCTCGACCCACTTTACTTTGAACGTAAAGAGGTTCCTGTAAAGAATCGAGTTACCTATGCGAGATGTTCCCTCTACGATTTTCCTCGAAGAAGATGGTGGCCATTATGTTGGGTCGATAATACCAATCCTCCCCCTGGTAAATGACTCTAACTAAGAAAATTTCTCGAATTCCACTTTGTATTTATCTCATCCTCTTTCTATGTTATGTGTTATACAGCTGCTATTCCTCAATGTGTTCCGCAACATGTTGAACAAACTCCCTACTGGGAGAGTGATGATGATGGTTATGCCAAAGGGTCATCAGTGAAAGGTCGAAAAAGAAAGACCGCTTCTGACAAGGCTTCTTTACGTTCTAAGGTATAACTCTTTTCGATATAAAACTTTCAGTCAAACTTTAGATTTATTTCACACCTCTAATTCTTCCTTGAAACTTCTATTTTTTTAGAACCTCGAGACTTCGAAAAAACAAAGAATGGATTCGGCCAGTACCAAGACTGTTAGTAACCTTTTGCCTTAATATATTTTCTTACTCTCTATTTCGAGCCTCGACCATAAGGATTGTTCTTCTTGCAGGTTTCGACCACGAAAAAGACTGATAAAAGGAAGGGGAAGCTAGTGATTCCTCTTAAGAAGACTCAGAAGCCTCCTACCGAGAAACTTCTCAAGGACGCGATGAAATCAGTTCCTAAGGTATTGTCATTTTTGATTTCGATTGTTTCCACATTTCTTCAACTTTTCTAAGGTCCTTACTCATCACAAGATGTTGAGATTATCCAAATTGACTCTTCTCGAGAAATGTCCAGAGATATTCCTCCTACCAGGGAATCTCAACAGGTTCAATTTTACTCTGCCTTTATTTTCCTATATCTTTCCTTAGTCTTCTTTTAATCTCAACATTTGTTTGCAGTTGGCCACTTCTCAACTCAATATTGCTGAGATGGCCTCCATCATGGCTTCAATAGAGATTCCCCCCCAAGTTGAAGAGGGAAAGGTTCCCCAATCGGAACCTCTTTTGAATGTAGAAACTCATCAATCTTCACAAGGTGACGCTCCTTCTTTCAAGCTCAAACCTCTCTTGAGTCCAAACAAAGGTATATTGACTTTAACTTTACATTCTTATTGTGGCTCTTAACGAGATTATCTTACACATTTTGTTTGTCTTTTATTTTTGCAAATTTTACTTGTGCAGGTTCGACTGAGTCTCCAAAACCTTTCACTGCTTCTCCTTCGACCCAAGGTGGTGTCGAATCTTCTGTACAGGCACTTTCCTCAATCCCTTCGACTGATTTAGACTTGATGAGTTTTTTTAATGAAGAGGATGAGGATATCAACAGCATCTTCGATGTTCTTGACAATTGGACGAGAGGTCCATCTGGGTTAGAAAAAGAAAAAGAAAGAGTTGTTGAACAAGTCTCTGAGACAACCCCGTCTTTCCAACCTTTGCTCGAATCTTTTCGGTTGAAGGCTTATGTAGATGACCTGGATCAAGCCCTCGTTGATCCAGAATTCAAGGTCGAAGTTGGGCAGATGGTCGAAGATTTGCTCGCCTATTCTGACCTTCCTACTGCAATCCACGTTGAGCTGCAAGAGTTTATCAAGTCTTTCACTCTTGCTTCGGAACTTCGATCAAAGTGGTCTACCACCTTTCAAGAGGTAGCTCAGATTGAAGTCGAAAGCGAGGGTGATCGTGCCAAGCTCGAAAAACTTCGCGAGGAGTTGCTCTCCATCTAGAAAGCTACCGAGGAGATGATCCCCGCTTTAAAGAAATTACAACAGGAACAAGTGGATTGCACTGCGTCGATCGAAGCCTTGCAACATGAGTTGAACAACCTTCGTTCCAAACAGGCTACTCTGAAGACTCAAAGTCAAGAGGTTGTTCAACGTCAAAAGAACTTGAAGGATGAGGGCAAAGTGGTTTCTTCGAGACTTGCATAGACATTGGAGCACAAGAAACACTTGGAGAGTCAATGTGACGTTCGAAGACAGAACTTGGATGAAGCTTATGACGCTTTCAAAGAGTTCAAGTCCAAGTTCTGTAATAGTTAATTTTTTAAACATTTGATTTTTAAATTTCTCTTTGTATTGGACACATATTTTAACATTCTGTTCTTTTATGAAAGCACTTCAAGTATTTTCCATTAATTACTTTGCTTGCCATTTTCGAATTTATTTCTTTGATCACATACGCATTTTTTGAGTATACTTGATCAATTATGAAGGGACCTTCCCAATTAGAAGACCACTTCCCAAAGTGTCAAGATTTTTGATCCATGGGAAGAATCACTTTTAGCACTAAGTCACCAACTCGAAAACTACGCGCTTTGATTCTCTTATTGTATGTTTTCTCGATTCTTTCCTTTTGTTGAACCATATTTTGTAGGGCCAACAACCTTTCTTCTTCTAAAGATACTAACTTGTCATACATTAAATTCCAATAATCCTCGTTGGGAAAATCACTCTGTTTCTGTATATGAATTGATTGTAAATTAATATCTATAAGAAGAATAGCTTCATGCCCATACACCAGTTTATATGGAGTAGTCTTTGTGGCATCTCTAGGAGAATTTCTATAGGCCCATAAAATTTGGACAAGTGTTTCGTGCCAATTTCGAGGCTTGCTCGAGATATGCTTCTTAATCAAACTGATAATAATTTTGTTAGCGGTTTCTACTTGTCCATTTGCTTGTGCATAATATGGTGTCGAAGTTATCAACTTAATTCCCCGTGATTCAGCATATTGAGCAACTTTTCGACCCGTAAACACCGTGCCTTGATCAGTAGTGATTGTTTGGGGAATCCCAAACCTTGTTATAATATGATCCTCGATAAAATCAATTATTTCTTTTTGCTCAACTTCCTTCAACAGAATTGCCTCAACCCACTTTGTGAAATAATCTATGACAACTAGTATATATTTATGATTTTTCGAGGAGGGTGGATGAATTTGCCCTATTATGTTGATTGCCCAACCTTGAAATGGCTAGGGTTTAATGATTGAATGCAATTCACTTGTAGGTACCCTTTGTATTGGCCCATGTCTTGGACATTCCTCACAACTTTTTACGAATTCGATGCATTCTTTAATCATGGTTGGCCAATAAACCCCTTTTCTCGACAAGGTCCACTTCATCTTTTCACCTGCTTGATGTGCACCACAGATACCTTCATGTACTTCTGCCATAGCTATGTAACTCTCATGATTCCCAAGGCATTTGAAAAAAACCCCATTGAAACCCTTTTTGTATAACTCGTTGTTTAGCATAACATAATTGAGGGCTTGGAGTTTGATCCTTCTTTCAACTTTCAAATTTGGATTTTGTAAATATTCAACCAATTCTTTTCTCCAATCTTGTTGACTCGATGAACTGACACTTAGACTCTCTAGATGGCATATCAATTCATTTTCTGTATGAATCAGAGACTCGAGACATTTCTTACTTACTTTATACCCCGATGCCACCTGAGCCAATTCATTTGCGATGGTATTCGCATGTCGAGAAACATGTTGTAATTCGACTGCATCGAATGCGTTTAGTAATTGTACAGCTCGAGTTTTGAATTCGATTAGTTTTTCATTCAAACACTTATATTCCTGAGTTAGTTGTTTAATAACGAGTTGTGAATCTCCTCGGACTACCACATTCTTAGCACCTAACTCTTTAAGGATCTCGAGTCCAGTAATGAGCGCTTGATATTCAGTTTCATTATTCGAGTATCCTCTATTTGTTTTGAATGATAACTTAGTTGGAATTCCTTCAGGAGAAATGATTAACAAACCTATCCTAGTGCCTAATTCATGTTTCAAGCCATCAAAAAATAATTCCCAGGGCTTAGTGGTTAAGTAATCAACTTCCCCAGCTTCTTTCGAGTGGTCCGCAAGAAAATCTGCAATTACTTGTCCCTTAGTTGCTTTAATGGCTCGAAAGTTAATGAATATTCAGTTAACGCAAGTGCCCATTTGCCAATTCGAGAATGTAAAATAGGTTTACACAACATATACTTAATCACACTACTTCGACAAAATATTACAACATCACAAGGTCTAAGATAATACTTCAACTTTGTACAAGCAACATAAAGATTTAAACAATTTCTCTAAAGGAGTATATCTAGTTTCGGCTCCTACTAACATTCGACTTAAATAATAAATGACTCTCTCGATGCCATTATCATCATCTTGCACCAGCATACCCGCAATAGTCGAATCGCTAGCTGAAATGTACAACTTCAGTTGCTTTCCTTTAGAGAGTGGTGCAAGAACTGGAGGATGAGCCAAATAAACTTTGATTTCATCGAACGCCTTCTGGTGCTCTTCATTCCAACAAAATTCTTGCTCCTTTTTTAGACGTAAAAGAGGAGAAAACACTTTAGTTTTGCCAGAAAAGTTCGATATAAATCTTCTCAGGAAGTTTACTTTACCTAGGAGAGATTGAAGTTCTTTCTTGTTCGATGGAAGTTTAGTCTCCATGATAGCTTTAGTCTTGTTTCTATCCACTTCGATCCCTTTCTGGTGTATGACAAATCCCAGAAACTCTCCCGTTGTAACACCAAAAGCACATTTTAGTGGATTCATTTTTAAACCATGTTTTCTCATTCTCTCGAAAGATAATTTTAAATGGCATAAGTGATCCTCCTTTTGTTTCGACCCAACAATTATATCGTCAATATACACTTGTACAAACTTACCAATTAAATCATGGAATATTAAATTCATTTTCCTCTGATAAGTGGCACTTGCGTTTTTTAATCCAAATGGCATCATCACCCATTCATAGACGCCTAAAACACCTGGACATCGAAAAGCAGTTTTCGATACATCATTAGCTGCAATATAAATTTGGTTATATCCAGAATAACCATCAAGTAAACTCATAATTTCATTAACTGCAGCAGCATCTATCATAGTTTAGGCAATAGGCATAGGATACTCATCCTTGGGGGTTGCTGTGTTGAGATCTCAAAAATCAATGCATACCCTGAGTTTTCCATTCTTCTTTATAACAGGCACGACATTCGATATCCACTCAGCATATCTTGAAGTCCTGATGAACTTTGCTTTCAGTAATCTCTCGATTTCTTCCTTGATCTTTTCGATTACTTCAGGAGCGAACCTTCGAGGGCTTTGCTTGACAGGTTTCTTTCTAGGGATCATGGGTAGCCAATCAATCCTCGATCTAACCCCGACATTTCTTCATAATCCCATGCAAAGCATTCTTTATATTCATGCAGTACTCGAATTAATTCCTTCTTTAGTTCTCCTTGCAAGAGTTTGCTAATGTAAGTAACCTTTCTATTTTCGACAGTTCCCAAATTAATTTCTTCAAGTGGGTCCTGAGCTTCCAACTTATGTTCTTCATTGCTTGCTCTTTCGAATCCCAATGACGAATCATCGAAAATACAATCCAACTTAAGCTCTGACTCTTGCTCTTTATCTTCTTTCTTTTCGACCTTGGGGTCCATTCGATCTTTCTTTGTTTTTTGTTTTTATTCTTTCTTTTCGACCTCACGGTCCATTCGATCTTTCTTTGTTTTTCTGCTAATTGAGCCATATCTCTTAACTATTCATTTACCAATTTTTTACGTATTGAGAAATCTAACCCTGTTGCTGCAATCTTAACTAATTCATGCTCAGGTATATTAGTATAACATCGAGATTTTAATTGCCTGAACCTATTTAAATAGTCATCTACCGTTTCATGGCTTTGTCTCTTAATGTTCATTAGATCGATTATACTAACTTTCGTTTCTTCTCTGAAGAAATGTTCATGAAAACTACCTTCCAATTGAACCCAAGTGTTTATCGAATTAGGAGGTAAGGTTGTGAAAAATGTAAAACAGTGATTAGTAAGCGAACCAGCCCAATAATTCATTTTTAAATACTCATTGTTCGCCAAATCCCCACATTCGACTAGATACCTAGCTATATGTTCGATCGTAGACTCATTTAATTCTCCCGCGAATTTTGAAAATTTTGGGACCTTTGTCCCCCTAGGCAATTCTACTTGAGTTACGTGATTTGGAAATGTTTACACAAAATAAGGACGTTCATTTCGACCTACCTCGAAACCATGCTTGTTTAGTATCCTTTCTACCATTTGATCTAAATCATCATTGGGATTCCTATTAGGTCGACCTACGTTTTGAGGAAAAATTCCATTCCCACCTAGATTTTCCATGTCGTTCAGATTTGCACTCATGGCTCCTCGAAGGTGGTCCATCACCCAATTTATCTCCTATTTTGTTTATTAATTCATACAAAGGAGTCATTATATTATGCATTTGGGTTGACAACAAATTGACCATGTCATGATTACTATGGTTCATCTGTTGTCGAAGAGCCATCATGGCTTGATTACTAATCCCTGTGGGGATATAATTACTCTGTCGAACCAGAGACCCTTCGTGACTAGTGCCTACGTGTTGGTACGGGTCTTGCATGATGAAACCCAAACCATTTGGACCAGGATTATAACCCTGTGGGGATACATGCATTTGTGAATTTGGTCCTAAATAGGGTATTGGCATTTTGACGTGTACAGGCTGGGTATTTCGCCAATTCTGTGGCATACCCCAGGGATATTCTCTAGTGGCATTTACTAGTTCTTGGGACACGTTGGGTTGCCTAGCCACATTTTCGAGTACTACAGGAGGTGATGTTGCCCCCCTCGTCACAACAACTACATTATCTAAGTTAGGATCTCCATGTTCTACATCTACCTGATTATCATTATTCCTGTTATTAGAATTATTAAACGTAGACATGGTTCTTTCACTCCTAAGTCTCATACAACATGCATACCTAAAACTAGTTTAATTATGAATGTCCCACTGGGCCTGCCAATTTGTTTATGGTGGAATTAGTTTCACGGATTCTTTTTATTCGAACTAGCACGACAAGCGTTTCAATTTAGGTATTATGCTTTGAATTTTACGGAACGATGCTTTGAATTTTACGGAACGAGAAAAGATGGAGTAGAAAGATTAGTAGTTACTTGTTTCTAAGTATTCATCAATAATTAACAAGTAATAATTTTCATGCACATAAATACTCAGATGAACAGAATGAACAATGGATATATTTGCAATACAGATCATGGTTCACTTTGCATAATGTTCA